GGCAAGGGGGGAAAAATTGCAGGAAAGGCGTGAATGGAAGTTGCTGATCAACTTTTTGTTTGGGAACGTGGTTGAAGAATAAAAATTTAACAATTTTAAGACATTGATAAAACATACTCCCTTTTATTTTAAACATAAGTCATTTATAACTAATTCATACGTATAAATAAAAATAAATAAAACTATGCTAAAGTATATATTTGATCTTTTAATTTTGTGCAAGGTTCAATTTGTTCTCTTAACTTTTAAAAGCATATATTTGGCTCTTTATCCCTAAAATCATCAGGCTTAAATGGTGATTTTTTTGCAATAATCATGGTTGTTCTCAAAATAAAATTTAATATGTTAGTATTTAAGATCAATATTTAAGATCTCAATATCATTATTCTTTGTTAACAATTTTAGGATATTAAAAGTATACTTTTTGAAGTTAAGGGACTAAATTGAAACTTACAAAATTAAAGGACTAAATGTATACTTTAATCATAAAAGTTTTAAACTTATCATAAAGTTCAAATGATTTATTAATTACAAAAAAGACAAAAAAATCATTTTCTAAATAATGCCATATAATAAAAATAAGAGAAAGTAGTAAATGCCCTACTATAATATAGAGCACATGCTACTATAAGACATTTTTCAGAAGGTATTTTTAGCCAATTCTATAAGGAATTTACTAGTTGTAAATTAAAAGAATTTTAAATAGTATTTTCTTTCATGCATACTCATATTTAACGATAACAGTGAGGGAGTATAATGCTTTATAAAAAGGACTAAAAATACTTTTTAGAAGATGTCTTATAATAGAGATAAGAGAAAGTAGCGAATATCCTACTATACACTTTTTGTAAGGCATTTTTAGTCCTTTTATAAGAAATTTACTGGTGCCCAAAAAAATTAAATACTACCCCCAGTCCTCATTATAATATTTTATTTATAGACTATAAACGAAATCTTATAATTAGAATCGGTAGTAGGATTTTTTTTCATACATGCTTGTATTTAATAAGAGTAATAAAAGAGAGTAGAAATTTCTTGGCAAAAAAACGATAGTGAAATTTAATATCTAATAAGAATGATATTGAAAATCACTTGAATTTTATGATAAATTTAACGGTTTTAATTGTTTTTATTTATAGATATAAATTAGTTGTAAATTACTTGTATCAGTGTCCTAAAATTGTTAAATTTTTATTCTTCAATCATATTCCAAAACAAAACATTAATCAGCAATTTCCCATTCATGCCTTTCGTGCAATCTCCTTTTTCTTGTTGGTCATTTTCTTCACCCAACGACATCGTTTTAAGGAAAAGGAGGAGCGGTGGATATTAAGGCAGCGGAGGAACCAGTCTCCAAAAGAAATTGCCTTAGAATGGCCCTTAATCACCAAAATGTATGTTGATTGGTTATTTAAAAAATGCATGCCGATCATTCAATTCACAAAAACCTAGACAATGCTAATTGAAAAATAACAACAAAAATAATATTTTAGTCTTGATCAATATGCTGTAAAGATATATTCTATATTTACAGATCTGTTTAGATCAAGGCAGAGTAAATTACTAAAAAAATTATAGTTGAACAGATTTTAATTTAAAAATGATAGATAAAATTTGGGATTTGTGCATCTCATATTACTTGGCACTCAAGCATCCACTGCTTCTTTGTTCTTTATCATCAGAACTATAAAATGCTTGTGATGCAGCCATTCAACATACTAATATAGTAAAAGGTAAGGGGCCAAGCCTACGACAAGAGGAAGAATCAACAAGTTACAAAATCCATTTGCTTTTTCAACCTTAAATGGTCATAACCCAATATTGGTACTACATATAATGGACATGTCAAAGACACCTCGTTGATCAGCAAAAGCTCTCCTGCAAGCTTGAGGTAGGAAGCACCTGCATTGCATAAAATATCAACGCAAAAAGAGAAATACTCCCAACTTAAATCTCAACAAATTAATAACAGAATCATCACATAAACCCTTCAAGAGTGTACAAGGAAAATATCTGTTTAAAACTTGAATTCAATTTTCCGAGTAAAATGCGACTTGCATCCCCTGAGACCCCATAAATATGATTTTACCATCAACAAAGTTGAAGGAAGATTATATAATTGATGTATTAAAAGTTGTGAGGAGTTAAATGACGATAATCAAGTTCTAAAAACTAAATTGACAGAACATCCATCTTCCAAGGACTTTAATGTTATATATATGGCTTACTCAACGTTAATACACAAGAGAAATTATCAAGAACTTGACTTATTTTGTCAGTGCAAGTTGATAGAGAGGTTGCTGCAAAACAGATTCCTGATCTTCCAACCCACACAAATTGATCCAGAAACCAAAAAAAAAAAAAAAAGGTTGACAGAGCAATGCATTTTTGGGCTGGAAAAAGCGTAACAAGACAACGATGACGAGTTGAATTAAGGGAAAGGGAGCTCCACGTGGAGCTGAACTTATCGGAGCATGCAAGTCATTGGCAAACTGCATAACGAAGGATACAAGCAGTGATGGCTGTAAAGAACAATAAAATATCAATTATTTTGCAACTTCTTTTCTATGTCGGAATTGCTCTTCAAGTGTAAGAAGAGACCAATAATTTGAGAAATAATTGTTTTGAAACTTTCTAAGCAGAAGAGAAAGTGTAACATTCACACGGGTAGAAGTATCTGGTTTTCTTTATTTAAATAAATCGAGACTTGACCCAAAAGAAAAAGGAATTAAGAGGATGAAGATAAGTAAGAAGACTTTTTTATAAATGTGTGAAGTAATTATTTCAGGATAAAACAGAATAACTTTACATTCTGAGCAATACCAGGTTGGCCATACACTTAGGAAGTCGAAACCATACCGTTTGCGCTACGTATTTTCACCCCTGGCTTCAACCTTGTTCAAATATAAAGTCAAAAGACTAAGTTCTGCTCTGGCTGCGTCCAATGTACTCATCCCTGGAGCTAATCAAAGATACAAAACAAAAATAAAGGGTAATAACACTTTAGAAGAAATATACAAATGATTAATGGCAATATCTCCCCAAGAAAAATCGGAATCTGTTTTTGAGAAAAGAAAAAAGAATGAAGAGTAGGAGATTGGAGCATATTAATAAAAACCATACCATGTCCGAATCTATATTTAACTTGAGTTGCAAAGGGTCCTCTTTTTTCTTCTTGAGTAGCAGATCCAAGAATTGTTGAGTCGCTTCGTGGGAGGGACTCCATCTTCAACACCTATATCTACAACCCTCTTTCTTTTTTGACCCGACCCAGGCTCCGACTCGGAGCGATATTTTACGTGTACTCCACATGCTTCAGCAGGGACTTTGGAGTAACAAACTCCCGTCTCTGAATCCCATTGTTCCAGAAAGAATTCACATGAAATCTTAACATCATCACCTGTTCTAGCACCAGATGGGACCCTCCCCATGCTCCACATAAAAACATGGTCTGAATCTAATTCTTGAAGAAGTTCATACCCAGTGCTGGATTTGGTCACAATATCATCAAAAGTGATATAACAGGTGACGGGAGGGAGCTGTTCCAGTGATCTGAGGAGATGACGAGGAGCAACACAACAAAACAATATGTCAATTTCTCGTTCAAGATTGCAAGTGAATTGGATGGTATTGGAAGCCTCTGTCATTTGATTACATGTCATCCACTTTGGAACTCTGTTTCCCGGGTAACGAGCTAAATCACTTCCAAAAATATCATCCTTACAAGTTGAGAAATCTGAAGTCAGTGAGAAATGAGTTAATTCCTCAATAAAGCCAAGCGAACACTTATCCAACTTTACACAATTTTCGAATTCAAACAAACACCGATTGAAAACTAGAGAGTCAGAGGATACAGTCTCCAATAAAGGGCAATAGTTGGCATCTAATCCTTTAAGCATGGGAGGAAGTCCAAGTATCGACTTAAGCCTTTCGCAGCCATGTAGGTCAATGGATGTCAAGCTTGAAAGATGGCTGACGCAGGCTGGCAATGTCTCTACACCACTAAATGCCAATGATAAATATTCTAACCTTGTTAAGCACTTGATATTGCCAGGGATTTCCGACAAGTAACTGCACCCATCCAAAGTTAGTCCTGTTAAGTTACGCCAAGCATCAAAAAGGGAGCGCAGCTCCTCTGTGTGAATTTCTTGCTCGAAATTTTGAAGCTGAAACACCTCAAGATTTGTCAAGCAACACAGCTCCTCTATTGGAAGACTCCTCAATCTTTCACCCTTACCAATTATAAGACTTCTAAGCTTTGTGAAACGTCCGATTGGCAAATCCAATGTTTCAACTCTAGTCCATTCAAGAAATAATTTTTCCAATTTATTTGATGACAAACATAATTTCTTGAGGTCACAGCCCGAAACTCTGAGATCGGAGAGAGATTCTAAATGAATCTCACTTTCAAGACTCTCTAATTCATCGCAATAACTTACATTCAATTGAACAAGAGTGTGAAGAGATAAAATGGATGGATGAACACGCCTCAAACTTGAACAACAATAGAGATCTACATTTTCAAGCTTACGTGCCATAGAAAAATCAGGCAATTCCATCAATTTACTGGAGCCATGCAAATCAATTTTTCTTAGATTCACAAGATCCTGTATTAACAATGAAAATGAAAAAGAATTACCCCAAAGGCCCTAAAAAATTAAATTTTACTGAACCTATATAAAAAATAGATTAGTATATATACAATCACCTGCACTCCATCCCAAAGCTTTGTAACATTGCTTCCTTTCATTTGTAGTTCAACAAGGTTTCCAGGACAAAAGTCCAATGGCAAAGACCCCAATGGATAACAATCCCAATGAAAAATCCTTAATTTATTAGGGAAAGAGTCAAGACCAAAAGGAAGCTCTATACATGTCTTGGTTTCAAACCATTGCCTATTAAAAACTTTGAGGATTCTCAATTTTTTCATCTTCGAGAAGGTGTTTGCCCTCAGATGTAAATATTTGCTTTGAGACACATCCAGCGAAATGCCTTCAATTTCATCGATTTCCTAAACAAAAAATAAAATAAAATAAACATTGAGCTTTTTAGAAAAACTATCAAAAAATAAAAAACAGAAGAAATAAATTGAAGTATCTTTCCCTTACCTTGTCATTTTTTAACACATCACATATTTCATCTGCATCATTTAATCGACTACGAAATTGAGGATGTTTCATACATTCCTCACGAACTATTTGCTCAGCCATTTCTCGTATCAAATCATGCATTATAATGAGCTCACCTGACTTCACGAGAGCTTTATCTATAAGATTTTGTATTCCACTAACCGCTTTGAAACCACAAGCCTCTAGCACAGGAATAACTTGATCTTTCTGTTCTCCCACAAAAAAGAATGCAATGTCTAAAAATATTTGCTTGTCCATATTATCTAACCCATCATAACTCACCTTCAATCTATCCTGAATATTCTGAGGGGGATACTTTTGGAGTTTGCTAAGCTCACTTTTCCAATATGCTTCATCTCTAGAATGAAAATGGGAACCTAGAACTTCTAAAGCTAAAGGAATGCCTCCAGCCAAGGCAACTGTCAAATTTGATAGCTCTTCATATTCCTTAATGGGATGATTTTGATTGAAGGCATGCATGCTGAACAGTTCAAGTGATTCTTCTAAACTCAATTCTTTGACTTCATGTATATATTTTTCATGAATCCCTCCACTCTTAAGAACATGCTTGTCTCTACTTGTTGCAATGACTCTACTGCCCCTTCCCAAGTAAAGTTGTTGTCCAACCAGATCTTTTAGTTGCTTTGGATTGTCCACATCATCAAGTACAATTAACACTTTTTTTTGTTTCAGCCTTCTCACTGCTCGGTTCATATTTATGTCGTATTTTTTATCTAATAGCTCAAAAAAAAGTTTTTGAAGCAAAGGACTCAAACCATCAACCGTTGTTGATTCTTCTCTCACATTGTCTAAGAAACAATGACTTTCAAATTGAGACGAGAATTTGTGAAATATAGCACGAGCAAGGGTTGTTTTGCCTATCCCTCCTGGGCCCCAAATTCCAAGAACTCGAACTTCTGGCAACTCATTTTCCATTAATGATTCAACACTAGTAAAATTTTGATGAAATCCAGTGAGTTGAGATCCCAGCACAATTGAACTGTTATCTTCCAATTTTCTTAAGACATTTTCAACTATTACATTGATGAGTTCAGGTTCATTTCTAGCACATAAAAAACAAATAAAATTATTAGAGTTGCTCATTATAGAAATAATTAATGCTAGACAAAATATGACTATATTTAGATTGTTTTGGCAAACCAGAAAAAGCAGAAGAAACTAAGAATAATAAAAATAAACTTACCGAAAATGTGATGAATGATAACCAGATAAGTTTGCAGTTTTTTTCAAGGCAGATCTCCAAATTTGCAACTTTTGCACGTTGTCTTTGAACTTCTGTTCATGATGAGTGAATGCCTCCTCATAAGTGCCTCTTTGGTGCCTGACATCTGATGGATCTACGTGGTAAAAAATTGGTATCACAGTCTGCTTACCAGTTTCCTTGCATTCTATGATTTTGACAAGCTCTTCCAAGCACCACTGTGAAAAAGCATAATCTTTTGAGAATATCACCAACGCTATCTTGGATCCTTCTATTGCTTTTACAAGCGCTAATGATATTTCTTCTCCTCTTTCGAGCCTGTCATCCACATAGACATCTATGCTCTCTCGACGCAACTCATTTGTCAAATGGTTGAGGAAACCAAATCTGACGTCTGATCCTCTAAAGCTGATGAAAACTTCATAATTTCCAGAAGGAACTTGGGAAGAAGAAGCAGAAGCAAACATAGCCATTGCTTGGAGACCCAAAAAAAAAAAACAATTTAATGTTTTATAAGCTGTTGATTTTTTTCTTAAAAAGAACAAAAGAATAGCGTTTAAGTTGTTAGAGAATGAGGGAGAAAGACCATATTAATACCTTATTGGCGGGGGTCGCTAGATCAAATATGAGGTTGAAGACTTGAAGTTGATTTGGTGAGTTCGCTTGTGTTGGGAATTCAATCGGCACAATGGAATAAGGAGCATGTTAAGCCAATTGTTTACATTTAAGAGTTAAAAATCAACTAAGAAGCTGCCGGTGGAAATTTCTTCCTCAAAGTAGGCCGAAATTTCCACGAAATAATGAAAACTTGTGTCAGTAGCACTTTTTGACTCCAAGTCAACAACGCTTTTTTTTTTTTTTAATTGGGGTCTTAATTGTTTAAAAATTAGAAAATTTCAGGAAGCCATGAAAGTTGTCTCGGTATGATTTTTTTCTTCCTTGTTTTGTTTCTGATTTATAGTATGTTGAAATTTTCTATACCAACCCCAAAAAAAGAAAAGGTACTTAGAAACTTTTATGGAAGTTAGGCTTTTTTCCTGTTTAAAGTAATAATTTTTTATCAATCCAAAAATGTAAATGAAAGTAAATAGGCAAAATTTCAAAAAAATACTTCTTCAAGTTTTAAAATTTTAAATTAGTCTTGTTTGTTATACTTTAATAACAATTTACTATACCTTAAAAGTTAATAACAACACATTTTTGTAATAATTCGTAATTTGGGATGTTGAAATCCAAAAGATTTTTTTTTTTTGGGGATTCTTCTTGATTTAAAGTATGTAGAAATTTGAACAGAAATATCAAGCCTGTAAAAACTTTCATTTTTTCTTGATCATGTCATAAATCACATGCCCTACGAAAATGACTGCACAATCACATGCTTCTTTAACGATTCATTTTACGCTAGGGTTCCCAATCAAAGCTTCAACCGAGGTAATAAAAAAATCCAGGGTGTTTAGTTTTCTGTTTTAAAAATAGTCTTTTCAAAGAAAAGATGAAGTATATTGTATTTTACCATGCTAATGAAATAAATTATTCTTTCGCTTTTCATTTCACCATCTTAGGTATGTTTTTGAAAATAATAATTTAAACAGGTTTTTCTAACTATTTCCCCCGAAATTTGTGCCAAAATATTACTGTGTAGAATTGTTCAAAGAACGTAAAAATTACCAATAGAATAAAATAAGCCATAGGTTTTCCAAAATTTTTAATTTTTATATCCACATTAAAGGGTTTTTCATTTAAAAGTACGTAAAATACAAATGATTAAAAGGCGTGCTTTGATATAATCAATGGAATGGAGAATATGTGATTGTCCTCATAATCAAAGTTCAACTTATCAAAGTTAATCCCACTGTGAGCCACCTCACTCGTTTTTAACAGTAGTCATGAATCTGTGTCCATTGCTAGCGTTTCTCCAGTTGAAGGAGTGACGCATGTAATAATGGAAATGATTAGAAGAGAAAAAATTCTAAGGAAATGATCAAAAATTGAGTAAAATTATAGGTACTTATAAATTAATTTTCCATAACTTCCATCAATGTAAAATATTTGATTTGCTTATAAAAATAAAAAGAAATCAAAACATCCTTAAAAATAAGAATAAAAATACTCCTTCCAATCCTATTTATAATATCCGCCAATTTAAACTGGTTTGGTCTTTTTCGTCAGATCCTACTATTAAAAGTTATTTGAACATTAAATGAGTTTTTACCAATTTTGTCTATAATTAATTTTTTTATTATATTCTCTTTCATGTTTTATTTCATAACTAATATTTCTTTTTCTTATTTGCTCCCTCGTTAAATAAGGACATACTGGAAAAATAAAAACTTAATTTTCATATATTTATTGTTTATAACTAATTTTAACTGTTTTTTTAAATCATGTAATTTAATTAACAGGATGTTATTAAAAAGACAGGAGGAAGTAATGATTATATTAATACCTTGGTGAGAGTGTCTAAGTACCTATTTGAAACAAAATATTATTTATCAGTAAAGTCACTTGAAAAAATTAATCCAAACACCTTTTCAAATCCAATATTAGCTTGAAAAGACAAAAGTTAATTTTGCGAATTTGTTCGTGCAGACTGTTCGAGTATTCACATTGCGCCGTTGGACACCTATTATTATTATTTAAATGAACCATAAATTTTCACGAAATAATGAAAAAGTATGGTCATCAAACCTTTTCACTTTTTTGTTTAGAAGTTTCCACTAAGTGATTCCATTCACATTGTGTCGGTTTTAAATAAAGTAATCAAAAGCACTTTCACATTGTGTAGGTTTTTTTTTTGTCGTTTTCATCACATTTTTTTTCTGAAGTCTTGAAAATCCTTTAAATATAAGCCTTCCTTTTTGTTAGACTAAAATGGACAAAACATCTTCATTAATCATGAAACAACAAGCTTATTATAACAATTTATAGTGAATCGATCCTAAAACTCTTAATAGTTGTTGACGGAAATTCCTACGAAACAATGAAGTCTTTTTTATTCTAAGTAAACAAAGCTTCTTTTTTTTTGGGTTTTTATTCTTTAAAAATTAGAAAATTTCAGGAAGCCATGAAAGTTCTTCCGGTATGATTTTTTTTCTCTATAATTTCAACAAAATAGTGAAAATATATATTTGCTATTTTTTTTTGGGGTGTTTCGATTCACTTCCGAACTTTTACATAAGTTGAGACAAAAATTCTTTTATATATTTATTTTATAAGATCTTACTAAGGATTGTTTAAACATTAAATACATTATTACCAATTTTGTTCATAATTAATTTTTTTTATTCTTTTTATCCTTTATCTCATAACTGATATTTCTATCTCTTATTCACTCCCTCATTAAATAAAGATCTACTTGGGAAAAAAAATTTAATTTTTACATATTAATTACTTTTAACTAATTTTAACTAATTCTTAAACTACGTAATTTAGTTAATAGGAGGTAAGGATTATATTAATACCTTAGCGAGAGTGTCTAATTACCTATTTGAGATGAAAGATTATTTATTAGTAAAATCACTTGAAAGAATTAATCCAAATACCTACTAAAAATAAAATATTAGCTTGAAATCACTTAAAGTTATTTGGGAAAACCATATTGGAGGTACCTATACTTTTTTTCAATTTTCAATTTGGTACCTATGTGTTTTTTGTTCTTAACTAAATCTTTATTTTTCCTCTATTAACATCATTAATCCTTATGTAGAGACTAAAAATATCAATAAAACAAAGTTATAAGAGCTAATGTTGCTAAAAAGATAAAATTAAATGTTTAATTAAAGGGAAAAAAACACATAGGTACCAAATTAAAAATGAAGAGAAAGTATAGGTACTTTCAATATGGTTTTCCCAAGTTATTTTGGCGAGTTTGTTTGTGTAGATTATTTGAGTATTCACATTGTGCCAGTGGACGCCTCTTAATTTAAATGAAGTAAAAAATTTCCACGAAATAAGGAAAAAGTGTGGTCATTAAACTTTGTTTATTTTCTTTTTTGAGCTTTTATTGTCTAAAGTGATTAAAAGTTTCCACTAAGTGATTTTATTCATATTGTGTTGGTTTTCAATAAAGTAATTAAAAGCACTTTCACATTGTGTTGGTTTTTCATTTTCATCAAAATCTTTTTCTCTGAAGTCTTGCAAATCCTTCAAATATAAGCCTTTCTTTTGGTTAATTGCAAAAGAACAACCAGACTATAATGGGAAAAAAAAATTTCATTAATCATGAAACAACAAGCTTATTATAACAATTTATAGTGAATTGATCCTAAAACTCTTAAAAGCATTGGATGGAAATTTCTACGAAGTAATGAAAGCTTTTGTCCGCAGCTCTTTTTGACTCTAAGTCAACAATGCTTCCTTTTTTTGGGTTCTTATTGTTTAAAAATTAGAAATTTTCAAGAGGCCATGAAATTTCTTCAGGTATGATTTTTTTCTTCCTTGTTTAAAGTAATAATTTTTTATCAATATGTCAGAAAATTTGTTTAATATTTAAAATTTTAACATCAATATTTCTTTTAATGTATGTTATTAATGTTAGAGAACTGCAAGAAAATACTTTAAAAAATTAAGGGACTAAAATGAAATTTAGATATAGTTAGAATGAAAAAAATCAAAATAATATTGAATGCAGAAAATCATAATGATCATATTAATTCTTTATTGGGAGCATCCAAAATATGAACCTTTCTATTTCCTTGTCAATAATACGAATTCTGTGTCCAAAGAAAAAAAAATGCTTGTTTTTGGTAAATTAATTAAAAATTTCTTGTATCAGGTTTAAAAAAAGTGAGCAGAAATTTCCTCGGCATAATGAAGTTGGGTCTTTATTAACTCTTGTTGATTGAAAGTAGGCCTAAACTTCCACTAAATAATGAAATTTCCACGAAGTCAGAATGTATTTCCATTATGAAATTCTTTTCTGATTTTCTTTTGGTTTAAAAAGTACATAGAGAAGATTTCAACAATGAAATTTCAACGTTGCTTCGTTTGCTCATGAGATATCTCAAAAAGCTTGTCCCAGCTTTAATGTTGTCTTGGGCCTGTCGTCAACCACATGCTTCCTTACGCATTCATCTCCTACTTTCCAGAATGGCCCACATACGTTATTTTTCCAATCCAGATATCAAGAGTACCTAGCGCATGGAAGACGCACTGGGCTCTAAAAAAAAAAAAGCATGATTTTAGATTAATTTGATTTGCTTTATTATTGGTTATTTAGCCAGTAGTTTGACATTTAAATTTTCTAATATATATTATTTAAATTAAAAATTTGATGATTTGATGATTTTAAGAAATCTTTTTATATTTAATTCTCTTGGGTGAGATCTTATTGCAGTTTTTCCTAAATTTTATATAATTTCCCTAAATTTCATTTCACAATTTTAGATATGTTTTTTTTTCAGCATAATGATTTAAACACATTTTCTTAATTTTGTTTCAAAACTTGTTCTGAAAATTTACTCCAAGCCATAGAT